ATAGCTTTTGCGTTTTGCGCACGGGTTCGGATAGGGAGAGGACCAACCACTTTCTAGAATGCCCAAAAGAAGTTTATTAATGAATGTTGAGTGTGGGACTAATATGGATATGTTTATGTATGAGAGATCTTGTTTAGATGATGCTAATGTGCTCTCTTTTTATTTTCTCTCTTGGTTTTTCTCGACTCATGATATGATGTAATATGAATGTTTTGACTTTATCAAAGATCATCTTATTTATTTTGGATTTATCTGATTTAGGTCTTTATTTGGTTTTATTTTATTTCTAGAGCCTTTTATCTCTTCTGTCGGACTGCGTGGCTACTTAGCTTGCAAAGAACCTAAAACCAGGCTAGCTAAAAGGCAGACTGTCCGAGATAAGGGCGTTTATTGCGAAATTTTTTTTTTTGATTTTTCTGTTGTTTGGTTATGTTATGCAATCAAATGCAACAAACAAATGCGCACACAATTCAATCATCCGTGAACAGGTAGGGTTTTCCTGCAGAAAAGTGCATTGGCGAAGGTAGGTTCTAACTGTGCTCACCAAGGCTAAGGCCCCCAAGGTGCCCTCATTATAGGGTCCCCACTCTCCAGCCTTCAGACCATGCTTAGCACTAAGACCATAGTCAATCTTTGTGCCAAAAGAGGAAGGTTATCACCTTGAGTGGTGGTTTCCGATCACACTGGTGGGCTCAAGGCCATCACTACAGCGAACCGTACCTGTCACCCACTCCCTATGGACTTCTCACTTGTCCCCGAGTATAGAGGGAACTGTTGTGTGCAAAGGTTTGTGTACAGTTTTTATTTCAAACAATTGCGTAAAATAAACAAGCAACAATTATTAAAGTCAAACAATTAAAGCATGTTATAATACAAGGTAGGGTAAAAGCGTAATTTCTTTGTTTATTTATTAAGCTGGCCCATCACTAAATGGGATCAACTCTCTAGGCTTCCCTAGTGGAGTCGCCATCTGTCGCCGCCGTCGAAAAGAGGCGGTCGGAGCGACGCGATGGTTCTGACTTTTCCATTTTTCGCGTTTTTATGGATGATGTTTACAACGCCTTTAGGTTGTCCGATAACCGGGCTGAACCTAAGGGCGATGTTTTTGAAAAGGTGTTCTTAAGTTGTTCGATAACCGGGCTAACCTAAGAACTAATTTGAAGGGGATCTTATGGAGTCGCCACCGATGTTTTTACCGGAAACATCGAAAAAGGAGGAAGAAGGCATTGGTTTTTCGAAAAACCAACTTTGGTCGTTAAAACTAAAGTTGGGTAAGGGAGTTAGTTACGTGTAAGGGAAGTATTAGTTCCCTTACTACGCTCCTTTAGGGTTCCCTATGATAGGCCAACTATTTTATAAATAAACTTTTTGAAAATACGCTTTTACCCTTTTTATTTGCGGAATTAAAATAATGACTACATGACCCTAATGTCTATTACGCAATTTAATCATAAAAATAAAGACAGTAAAAGAGAGGGAGAGAATGAAGAAACCTCCGAGGCAAGCTTTTGATTAATTTTCTTGAAAGTAGGGTGCATTTTGGCAGCCTCTTCGCTCTTACAACGTCGAAAACTCTCTCGAAACGCTATAAAAAGCTCTCTAAGACTCTCGAAACTCCGGAAATGCTTCGGAGGGACTCTAGGAAGAGAATTTGAAGAAATTGTAGAAGGGAAAGTGGAAGAAATGTGTGAAATGAGGGGGAGCGCTCACTATTTATAGGGATTCGTGCTCGTCGAGTCGAGACGGCCATCTCGTCTAACAAGGTCGAGACGACCGTCTCGACTTGTAAAAGTGGCGAGATGGCGATATCGACTTTTCTAGAGACGAGAAGGCCTTCGCCAAACGGGAGGGGTCTCGCCATTTGTAAGTGGCGAGACGGCGTCTCGCCAAACGAGACGGCGGTCTCGACTTGCATCAATGGCGAGACGTCAATCCCGAAAAGTGAGACGACGGTCTCGACTCCGAAGGCAAAAATCCTTATTTTTATACGAAAAACCTTCCTATCCTAATATGGGCCTAATAGCTCTCCAGTAACTTCTAGGCTCGTCCATTTTCGAATATGAGGTCTTCTACTCTTATTTTGAGGTGGGGCAAGATTTGAGGTCTACACTAATTTTTACCAAGTTCTTTTATGATATTATTATTGAAACAAAATTGATATGAGATTCTAGATAAAATAAAGAAAGAATTTAGTTTGATCATGTTTTGCTGTTGAAGGATAAAAAACAAAAAATCATAATAACATAACATATAAAAAGAGAAGGGCTACAACAAGATAAAAAAAGTAATATTCAATATTACTTTGTCTAGTACGATAAATGCATAATGATGTCAGAACAATAATTAAAAAATGTATAACCATTACAAACCAATTTAATAAATATTTGATCGTTAAAAAAAAAAAAACTAATTGTTAGTACATAGACAATAACTAAGTTAAGGTATAAAAATGGACCAATCTAAAACATGGAATTGTTAGAGTAAAATTAAGTTTTAAAAAATGCTTAAAAAAAGGTATAATGATTAAAATTAACTAATATAAAAATATAAATTTTACATAGTACATATTTTAAACAAAAAATGTAAAAAGAATCCAATCTCTCAATATATATTTTAACATTAAAATCAATTAAATAAAAATGATGTATTTTTATTCTATTTAATCTTATTTCTCTTTAAACTAATAAAATATACAAAGTTCTTTAAACTATTAAAATATACAAAGTTCTAAAAATAGTTCACTTTCTTTATCCAAATAATTAATCATATTTTTGTCTTCAGAATTTCATCATTTAATTGGAAAAGGTAAAAAGTTTTACTTTTATGTAGTAAAAAACAGTATATTTTATTGGAATGTATAAAAGTATATTAAGAAATAGTTTAATTTAAAAAAAATATAGTATTTGTTTGGAATTAGTTGAATATTTTGTTTTAAGATTTGATGTTAAAAATTTTCTAAAATTAAAAAATAATAATTTTAACAACAATGAAAAGTCTCAACAAAAACTAACAAAAAAATAAAACAAAACTCTTCCACGACTTTTTAATTTTAAACCTCTGTAGGTTTTAAATTGTATTTTTTTTCAAACGCATCAAAGTAGTAATAATTAAACATAGTTTATAACTATTTATAAACCTTATTCATCCATTCAAACGATATATGCATCACTGAGTTGGGTTAATGTGAAGTTTGGTCAAACCTATTAATTAATCCACATGAAAATTTTGGCTTAGTGGATTTAAGTTTTTGTATTTTTTAGAATCAATCAAACTTAGTCTACTTCTAATCGGATTAGTTTGATCATGTAATTTTTATTTTTATCTAAATTTATAATTTAAAATATTTGTTTCAAAATATAATATGTTAATTAATCTTTGAATAATTTAATATTTAAAATATATATTTAAGCAATAATTATTTATTATTAATTTTAATAATATTTAATTATTTTATATAGATTGAATTGTGTGCGAGGTTTTTTTAAGTGTAAGTCGGTTTATCCCATTCAATCAACACTAATTATATTTTCTTTACATTTCACCTATGTAAATATTTTTTTTATCAATAATTAAATAAGAAAACTAATTTGTGGCAGAGATCTTGTAAAATTTGCAATGAAGTTAATTTCAAATATTATCACGGTTCCTTTCTATTAAAAATAATAATTATTAGTATGGTTTTTAGAAAAATATATTAGTATGCTATTATTTATTAAAAGAATACATAATTTTTTTTTCTGAAGATTACACTCACCATTTTATTAAATATCGGTCATCTCATTATAGTTTTACAATAAATGTTTTTTAATAAAATAAATTTTATATTATCTTTAATTTTCTAACAAATATTATTTTTATTTATACTTTTGTCTACTTTTAATTAATGATATTTTTCTTTTATAGTTGTAATAAAGTAGTATTTATTTGTTTTATTTAAAAAATCATATTAACTAAAATTTAAATAAATAAAAAAACTAAATGTTTTCTCTCAACAATAAATTTAAATAAATAAATATATTTTTTAATTTTGTTTATTATAAACAAAATAAAAGTTAAATGATTATTTTATTAAAAAATTCAGATGTGAGTTTAATGCAAACACGTGTACTTTCTGATTATTTTTCAACTTACATAAAATTAGATGACTATTACTTTACCATAAATTTAATATTATTCTTTAATCCATCGTTCAAATTGAAGAAAGTATATAATACGAAAAAAAAAACAAATAGTTTCAAATGGAAAAATAAAAAAGATATTAAGGATTGGTATTGGAGGTGAAGAAGAGGAACAGTGCGCAGAGTGTAGGAGTGAGGAGAAGCGATAAATCGCAGATCTAACCAACAACACAACACAAAACGCTGCTGTTTCTTTCCTCCGATTCCGGGTACCAACATTTCACTCCTCTAACCTTTTTCTCTGTTTGTTTATTTGCCCTTAATTTCGTTTTATTCAACCAAAACCTTTCGATTCTCATTTTTCTTCCATATTCCCCTTTTCCTATCGATTGTTTTACATAAAAAACTTACTTTCTCACACGGCGTCGTGTGTTACACCACTGCTTTTGTTTTTCAATTGTTATGATATCACGATTTTTCAACCTGATGAAACTTCCTTACAAATTTTTTTCAACTCGATAATCTTATCATGGCTTTTCTCTTGTGATTTGCGCCCTTTCAATTACTACGCAGGTTCTCTAGGTAAAACTAATTTTAAGTTTTTCATCACAATGTCTCAATTTCCCTTTTAAATCTGATGCCTATTAATAATTATCGTAGCTCTTAATTTTTACGTTGTTGTCAAACTTATGGAATAATATTGGTTAGGTTAGTGTTGTTCTAGCTTTATGTTTTCGTCTGAGGTTAATTAATTACTGCTCTGGTTTCTGTCTTTACACGTATCCGCGTGTGTGTACTTAAGGGAAATTAACTTCCTTGCTCCTTTTTCAGAGTTCTGGTGGTTCGGTTCTGATTGCTTCTGTTTCATGAGATTAAGGCCCCATGGCAAGCCATCCTGGAAAACAAGCTCCTTCAAATGGGTCTGTCTATGTATGCAACTTGCCCTATGGGACTGACGAAAACATGTTGGCTGAATATTTTGGCACCATTGGATTAGTGAAGGTATGGAGTCTCTGCATCATGCGTGCAAATTATTCAAATTAATGTTATCTTGTTGTCAAAATTGCTTTACTACTCAAAAAAATTTCAGAAATAGTGCAAGGAACATAAATATGGGCACATATTTTTTCGGTATCTTACATTTTTATGTATGAAGTGCTCATTTGAATCCGAAATTGTGGTTTTTTATTCTTGCAAAATAAGGTTTATTTGGGGTTGTTTATATGCTCACTAAAATGAATAATACTTTCAAATTTTTAATTTCCTGTTTGATTTTCCCTTTTATACTTCTGTCTCGACTTAATATTGTTTCTATTCCTTTTTTTTTTTTTTTCTCTTCTTCTGTGTTGCATTCTATTTTGAAACTGTTAGTCCTATTTCATTTATAATGCATGCTTTGCAGAAAGATAAACGTACAGGGAGGCCAAAAATATGGTTATATCGAGACAAAGAGACTAATGAACCAAAGGGAGATGCTACTGTAACGTATGAAGATCCACATGCTGCTGTAGCTGCTGTTGAATGGTTTAACAACAAAGATTTTCATGGCAATATAATTGGAGTTTTTATAGCAGAGTCAAAAAACAAGGACGACCAAACATATAATTCAGCAGCAGTAGAACCTGTAGTTGCGGGTGACGGTGGTGGATTAGAGGAAACTACAAAGGATGTTAATGGTGGAGGTGGAAGAGGTAGAGGCCAAAATGATGCTTCAGGCAAAGCATGGCAGCAAGATGGCGATTGGTTGTGTCCGAATACAAGGTCTGTGATATGAAATTGGTGAGCAGCTCTTTCTTGCTCTTGTACACACTTATTCAGTCATTTTAGATGATTTAGTTCAGAGAGAATAACATTTTTTTTCTTGTCATAGCAGTTGCTCCAATGTGAACTTTGCTTTTCGTGGTGCGTGTAATCGCTGTGAAACTGCCCGTCCTGCTGGTGCTGCTGGAATTTCAGGGGCTGGTGGCCGTGGCAAGGGACGTGCTGCTGGACAAGAATCAGGGGGTGTTGGCCGGCCAGTTGGTGGAGGACTATTTGGTCCCAATGATTGGCCTTGTCCAATGTATGATTGTGTTACATTGGCCTTTTGTGCTATTTCTTCTGTTCTACTTCCCTATAATTATTTTTCTTTTAACTTGCTGCTTAGCTACATCAATTGGATTACTTCTGTGTTATATTATCTTTTAAGAATTGTTTGCAAACAATTTAAAACATCAGTAAATTGATTTTTGAAGGTAAGATGTCTGTTTATATGCATGGGATACACAAACCCAACTTATATGCGTGCATAACGATGACTCAAGAAGTAATTGATTCCTGTTTAATTGATGCCAATTCATAAAAAATCCTTTTTTTGCACTTGGTTGGTTTCATGAGTTTTGTTAAACATTTGCAGTAAACTGTCTTTCCTTGTCTTTGTGTATAATCCTTTTCTCAAGTGTGTTGTTATCTTCTGCCTTAACTATCAATTCTAGCACATTCCAGCCAAATATATCATTTGGTCTTCTTCTATTCAAGTTGTCCGTGAATTTTAAAGAAATCCAGCAACCATCATATTACTGAGTGTAACTCTGGTGGCATTTCCACAAGTCCCATGAAGTCAGATGGTGATGCTACAACCTATGGATAGTTTGATTTCCACGAGACTGTTGATAATAAAATGATAAATTAGAACTTTGGCATGAGGTTTTATTTGAAAATAAGCCCTACTAACTTCTTTGACTATTTTGTAATTCTTTCCTGCATTTAGGTCTACAACCCCAGGTCATGAACCTCTCCTTCCTCAGCACTTGTGGATATTGATTTTGTTATCACAAATTTTAATTCCAGTTGTTACTATAATATGTGGCAAGATTACATACTTCTGGGATGTGGGAGTTTATGACAAGTGGTTTATGGAATTATTTTCTGTTCCATCACCACTATGTGGACTAAGTTTTTTCATTTATTGTGAGTCATGTTTTACCTAACACCTGGTTGGAGGTTTTGTTACCTGACATTCAACTTGCTCTTTTTAAAATAAAATTCAGTGTAATTAATTGAGTTTCTCATGCCCTTTTTTTCTTAGGTGTGGCAATATCAACTGGGCAAAGCGGACTAAATGCAACATTTGCAATACGAATAAGCCTGGGCATAATGAGGGTGGTGTGAGGTATTATAATATTCGATTCATTTTATACTTTCTTTTGCTAATTATGTACATAGTGGCACCCAGCCACCCTAATGCAGGCTTAAGGGGAACATGCATTTTTTTGTTGGAAAAAAAATGAATAAATGATTTCAGCATGTGCTATTTTTTTTGTAAAGGACAAATAGGGAATGTTTGACTATTTTGAACTGACAATCTATTCTTCTTTGTTCAATTATAATGAAGGTGAAACGTGGGGTTCTAAGAATAGAAAAAATTAGAAACCATGTTAGAACTTCATTTTCCATTGTGATATAGATACTTTTTTGCATGATTAATTCAGCTTATTCTAGAGAAATAATCAATCATTTTTTTTGCTAGCTTTCTGTTAGAGTTTTTGAAAAATAAGCGACTATTTTTCATACTGTGCTAGTTAGATTTGTCTGTATAAAAAAATATCACGCATTATGTGTCAAACATAATGTGATTTGTCTCTTAATTTGTCATTTCAGCATTGCCCATGCTATTTTATGGGATTGCACATTTTAATCCAGTCAAAATTTAACAAATTAATTTCTAGAAGGCTAGTATATCCATATAAAATGTTGATTTCTAAAGCCTTTATATCTGTTATATATTTCTTATCTGTTCAAAATCTCATTTAGCATTATGTATGTGTGTGGAAAATTGAATAATCCTTCGATGCTACCTTTGCATGATTAGACCCTATGGGTGTGTCCCAGTTGTTCATCGGTGCCCATGGGGCCAGGAGAGAATTATGGCATCATGCTTTTGTCTTTGTCAAAGAACATCAAGTCACCAATTTGTTTTTCGGATAGAAATGTAGCACGAACTTCATTCATAAAAATATTAGCAAAGACGTCCACTGTCTTTTTACAGCATAAAAACACCTTACAATCAAATGTGAGCATAGCCTTTTCCTAATGAATTTTTTCTTTGCATGCTGGGATGTGTCGGTGTGTTTATGGTCTATTACTGTAAAATGTATTGCATTGTGTTATGTGAAATATCATGAAGTATTCCATTTTGGGAGATTGGGAGAATTTAAGCTTATGATGTTTTGGCAACCAAAAGTCTACTCAGTTATAAAATTAACTGAAGTCTACATACATTAATCTTGTTAGTATTTTGGTTTAAAGCTTGGATTAACCACTGTTTCATTTGGTTTCAATTTTGAAAATGTTGTGTTTCCTATATATATAACTTGTCCTTTCGCTGTTCTTATGCTGAATTGAAGTTAAAATTTCAAGTTAGTGACTCTTTTTACCATTCACAGTTTATTTTTAAAATAAAAAGGTTACTGAGGATATTCTCCTAACATAAGGTTGTACTATCTAATTAAACAGAGGAGGACGAGGTGGAGGTTACAAAGAGCTTGATGAAGAGGAAATAGAAGAAACTAGACGTCGTAGGAGGGAAGCTGAAGTAAGATTGATTAAAAGTGAGATAAACTACCTCTGTTTTAAACTCTACCTCTGTTTTATAATTTTTTTTTCTACTGTCAGGATGATGGGGAGTTGTATGATGAATTTGGAAATCTAAAGAAAAAATTCCGTGCCAAAACACAGCAAGCTGAAGCTGCACGAGGGCTTCCTGGTTCAGGACGTGCTGGTTGGGAGGTTGAAGATCTAGGTATTACTGCATATCTAGCATGTTTACCCTCCATAATTTATTATAGAACAACCTGGAGCTGCACAAATGCTTTGTGGGCTAATGAGGCTCCCACTTCCACTCTTTCTCCACATGCTTAGGATAATCATTATATTTATAGGTCTGATGGAATTATCATTGTCAGGGTAGAATTATATTGGGCTGGTCATTAGTTTTGAAGTATTTTATACAGTTATATTTGATATTGCCTTGTTTTTAAGCTCTCCTGGTTAATTGGGACGTAAGATATGCAAATTAGTGAAAAGATATAGTTGTTGATATCATCGTTTGACATGTTTATATAAAATTATGAATTGGAAGGACCTGCAGTAATCAGAGTTATTATTCTGTAATAATGCATGTAACAGGGATAGACAGGGATGGTAGAGAAAGTAGAGACAGAGGAAGGGAACGTAATGATGGGGAGAGCAGGAACAGAGAACGAAGTGACAAAGAGAGGCAAAGCAGTTGGAATAGGGACAGGGACAGAGGAAGAGATCGAGACTGGGACTATGTTGGTCGAGATAGAGATTATGGGCGAGATCGGGACAGAAGTAGACACCGTTATTGAAATTAGCTTTGCACTCTAATACCTTGACTACCATGCTTTTTCGGATTATTTCAATTGCTTTGAATTAAATCCTTAAATTTGGTAACAACTTTCTGCATCTGAAATTAATGCCCATTTTACTTGGCATGGACATTTGGTACAACCTTTGGTGTTTATGCTTTTACTATTTCACAAGGAAACTTCTGCTTGAGAATGTTCTTAAAAGTAGAATGGCAGCCAATTTCTTGTGTATCATGAATAGAGTAATTTCATTGATAGTATCCTCGTAATTGTTTTCAATTCTTATATCAAATAGGTTATTTTTACTTTATTTAATACAACTCTTAGCAATAAATCTTTACAATTTAACAATTCTCATTTGTTGTTTTCAGTAGTCTCACTAAAATGTTTTATCATGCTATTTTATCAGTAACTTGTTTATTAACTTTAGATTTCATTATTTATAATTTCATTACACTTTTTAAGTCAGTAGAATTTTTAGCAGTGTTATGTTAAATAGTTTTTGCGGATGTTTAAAAAATTAAAAAATGATTAGTGGTTATTGATATATAAAAATTTGAAAAGAATATGAGAATATTGGATATTGCAAATTTGCCATATATGAATTTGGACTATTTTTGGGATTTTAATTTTTGCAATTTAACTCGGTGGCAACGTCAAATTTTGGCATGAAATTAAACCACATATATATTGAAGGAATTTTGATTTGAATTGATAAAACCAAATTAAAGTCTAAGTTGATTTTTTTTTATAATTAATTAAGACTAGTTTTTAAGATTTGGGTTGTCATGCACACAAATCTCATTCTTGAAAATTGAACTATAGTCAGCATTTGCATAAATATGAATTGAACTATATTTTTATGACTCCTCTACTGATTATATATATATATATATATATATATATATATATATATATATATATATATATATATATATATATATATATATATATATAGGTGACGAAATTTTTTATATTCAAAATTCAATTTAAGTATATATATATTATTTTAATTTTTATTTGTATATTATATGTTATTATGAATCTATTTTTTTAGCTTTTAACATCATAAATTAATACATTATATATTATTTTTCTTATATTAATCATTAAATAATTTGTGAAAAAATTATATTTATCTAATTTTAAAATAAACATTCATCTTTATTATAATTTTAATAAAATGACATTTTATATAGACAAAATTACTTTAATAATAACGTTACTTGTGCGTGTTTTCAATTATTTGTCTTGTTTTATTTAAAAATAACATAATAAAAAATTTGAATGAAAATATAAAAATATAAAAAATCAATATTTCAAAATATAAGTCTTAAAGAGTTTTTATAAAAATGTTTTGAAAAAGTTTATAAAAAAAAAAAAGAGTTAACTATCCCATTTAAAGAAAGTTGTATGTTTAATTAAAAACCATAACCAATCCAAAAATTGGTAAAAGATAATTTTTAATAAAAAGTAATTATAACACTTTATTTTTTTTCTTATAAAAGTAAAAATTAATCTAAAATATTAATGATTTTATCTTTTGTTTTAAAGATAAACTTGTTATTATTAATAAATAAAATATTACTAAAATATAAATTAAAACATAATATTTTCATTTATATATATATATATATATTTAATATTAAATTTTACAAATTTATATCAATTTTAAGATTAGAGAGACCATATTCCATAATCTATATTTTTATATTATCATACAAAGAGATTCTCTTTAAAAAAAATGATATTTTTAATAAAATTATTTGATATCTTGACAAATAAAATTAATTAGTTATTTTAATAAATATAAATTAGTAACCGAAGAACTACCCGCTTAGTTTAAAATAACCTCTCAACATATCATCTTCAGAAACTAAACGAAATTCATTTCTCAATAAAAGTTCACCTTTTACTTGTGACATGATTTTGTTTTATTAGTTTTAAATAATAATATAAACATTAATTTTTTACTTAGTAAAATAAATTTAGATGTCATTATATTGGTTTTAATTAATAAAGATTGAACTCAAATTGAGTTAACGTATTAAACCTGAACAATACATCACCAGTTCCAATACAACAATTTAATGTCTCGTAGACAATACAAATTTTCTAAAGAAAACAAAAAGTAAAATAATTTTGAAAATTGAATAGCACGTGTTAAGTGATGTTTGGCCTTGGTTAATGGAAGCGCGTGGCTGGGTCTGGACCCGAGTGGTTCGTTTGTGTCTCCGTTCACAACAGTGTCAATGTCCTCCTTCATTTCTTCCTTCTTGTCCCTTTTAAGTCACAACCCTTCCCTTCAAATTCTTCCCAAACCCTAACCCCCTTTCCCCTCTTCGCGTGCCGGTACGTCTCTCTCTCTCTCTCTCTCTCTCTCTCTCTCTCTATCATTTCCCCAAATCTCTCTCTGATTTATCTTCAACCGCTTTGTAACTTTCTCTTCCACAACAGTTCACCACTGCTTCAATTCGTTTCGTTCTCGATTTTTTGTGTATGCGATTTCTCTTGTAGTTCGATTAACTTGTTTTTACATATATTCTGCTGATAAATTGATGGCTATGTGTGATATAACTGGATCCTGTCACTTCAAGAAGCTTTATCGTCGCTGGATTAAACAAGTTTTAGGTTTTTATGTTATCTAGCACTGTTCTGGATTTTGTAGGTAATTATAAAGTTAGTCACGTGAGAAATACCATGGAAGATGGAAGTGACACTCTAATTTCTTAATTCAGTTGTACGGCGTCACTGTTTGCTTGCACAGATTGCAGTGCCGACTCTGTTTTGATTTTTTAGATTGTTTGAGTTTTTTTTTTTTTTTTTTTTCTGTTTGTCACGGTTATGATTGTCTTATCCATAGAAGTTTGCCTTTTTTGTTGCCTGGACCATCGTCTAAGAGCAAGAGCGATCGTGTGTGAAAAATAATATTTGAATTATGTGTTATGATATTGGGTTTTTCAGGTTGCATCTTGGATACGGGAGGTGTACCAATGAGTTCTCGGATAGGCAAGGGACCTGTTGTCAGAAGTTATCGGAGGAGAAAGACAGTTTTGGACCTTGACCTTAATCGGGAACCAGCTAGTGAGAATCGTGAGCAGGAGGGACCTTCAACTCAGTCAGGGGCTCAAGAAGTTCTAGTTGAACAGCAGCCGTTGGCCTCTCAACCAACAATGATTGATGTGGAAGACATTGATGATGATGTTGTTGAATGTACCCCAAGGGCTTTTGCTGAGGTTTAACTCTCCTTGACCATGTTTATTTTTGTTACTTTTTCATTTATTACAGTTCATTGTTGTAAATAAAATTCATTTTTCCATTTGTGTTCCATCCTAGGCTAAAAACAAATCAAGAAGAAACCAGGCGAGGACTATAGTTGATGTTGATCTAGGTAATGTTGTTCTCCACTTTTACATGCCTTTTATTCGCCAGGTTGTACTGATGTTGAACATTATGTTTTTGGAGGAATACAATAGTTGTCAGATAAGATGACCTCTTAACCAGTAAAACTGACACATCTAAGATAATTGAAGGCTATCATAGAATTCAAGTGGAAGATACAATCAAATTTGTTTATAGCCAAAGACTAGGTACTACAAGTGAGGGAATGTGTTATTACCAGTGAATGAAAGTAAAACTATGTTTTCCCTTCAGTGAAAATATCTATATAGTATATTTTCGTAGTGCCTCATCTAACGTTCCCAATGTTTTTCTATGGTGATTGGGTTACAGAGTGTTGTACTAATGATACATTGTCCATTAGATTAACTTATAGAAGCAGGGTTCAGAAGTTGTTAAAGCAAACAATAGTAAATTCGAACACTGAATTTCAATTTAAATATAAAAATTGGAATCATGTATGATATATTATATTGAATATCTTTTGCATTCTGCTTTTTTGGTCTCATTGCTTTTGAGCTTTATGCCTGCCCCAACATTTGTTGGTAGGGACTTTTTGAGATTTCTACCTGCTACTGTGCCCCATTGATTTATTTATGGAGGCTTATCTCTGAAAGTAAAGTCAAACACTGGATTTCCATTTAATTGAAAGAAATTGTAATCATGTATGATACTGTACTGAATATCTTGTTCATTATGCTTTTATGGTTGGGAAGATTATTTTTCTTGATACTGTCCCTAATCTTTAGATTACTTAATATAAGTGTGATTAACTTATCTGTAATTCATGATTGTTGCAGAAGATCAGACTAGGCGCACTAAGCGCAGAAGAGAATTGCGAAATCAAACAATTATTAATTGTGAGAAGTATATAAATTTGGAAGGCAGTAGCAGTTCTATGGTAAAAACATCCTTAGTGAGATGACACACTGTTTTATGTTCTGTACTTTATCATTTCTTCATCTGAATAAATAGCTGTCAGATTTGTAGAAGTTGTATATCCACTTTGTAATAAATAATTTGGTGTTACCTCCTTAACATTTCCTTCTGGCTATGATCTTTAGGGATTTATTTACTGTGTTTACTTATTGATTTTTTTACATATTTTGTAGACATCATAGCTTGCTTTCACAGCTGTTAACATAATTTGATTTCCTTCATTCTTTAACCATGTTAAGTGGCCTATTTTTATCAAAAAAATAAAGAATTTAGTTAATAACTGTGAAGCTTTACTGGAAATCAAATTTCTGACTTGTGTGTTACTTTTGTAGAGTGATAGTGCTAAAAAGCATCCCGAACCTCGAATCGAGCCTGTTTTCAACTGTCCAATTTGTATGGGTCCTTTGGCAGAAGAAATGTCGACAAGGTGTGGTCATATTTTTTGCAAGAATTGCATCAAGGCTGCTATAAGTGCTCAGGGAAAATGCCCTACCTGTAGAAAAAAGATTACTGTCAAAGAGCTTATAAGGGTGTTTCTCCCATCAACTAGTTGAAGGTATGGTTAAAAATTCAATTCTGATTATTTATGTTGGTTGAAATGCTTTCTTGTTGTCACATAGATATGTGATAAGTACTAGGCCTAGGAAAGGCTGTCGTTGGTCCTATTGGGTGGGTTTTAAATGAGTGTGTATATCAGTATTCCAAAATGGTGACATTAATGAATTTGTCAGTTTACAAACTGGGTGGTTAAAATGGAGGAATACATCTGATGTTATTTGTCACCAACTGACTGCAAAGTACTGATCAAGTTCAAAGTAATTTGTATTTTGTGGTAGTATATGTTAAGCTTTCGAGGGGGTGATAACAAGGTGGGAGTAGTAGAGATATGATTAAATGATATTAGTATGTTAAGATGGACATGGAGCGACGAAGGATAGGATATAAGATAACTGAATATAGGTATGACACCTATTGAGGAAAAGATGTCAAATTTGGTTAATGTAGTTTGGGCATGTGCAAAGAAGGTCACCCAAGGCACTGGTTAGGATAGTAAATTTAGCCATGTGAAAAGGGATAATAGATAAACTGAGAAGAACATTTGAGGAAATTATTTAAAGGGATCTCAAGGTGAATGATAAAGTGTGTCGTGTGATACAAAAAACCAGTTATCTAGTGGGATAATGCTATTTTAGGTGGTGTAGGCTTTTATATAAACCTGATGTATTTAAATGGACAAGGATACCACTGTACATGAAATTTATGAGGTATAGAGACAAAATGAGATGAGATATTTGAGACAGGAAAAAAGGGTGCTGGAGACATCGATCAATATAGGAGAGTCGAGTTGAGAAATTAAATAGAATTATCTGATTAAATTATTACATTTATAACCTGTTTTTCCTACTTTGTTTTGGATAGAGAACTTGTGACAAGCTTCTAAACATTAAATAGGATAGATGGCAAGTAAAATACTATCATATGCTTCGTTACATTGTATTTTTCTATTGCATATGCATGCTTGCTTTTGTCAGGGTCCAGCAATAGCTTCCTAATTTTGTTTGGCGAGAAATATTTATTAGTCTTTTGTTTACCTTCAATGCATTCTGACGAATGGTTGCCGTTTGGGCATGCAACAGGCTTTCCGTACAAGTTGTAGTGAGGAGAATGGGGAATGTAAGAAACGTCATTGTAGTTTGGACATTACTGAATGGCTGTGTTGTTTCTAATATGTTCCCCAAAGCAAAGATACTTAGTCTGTTGTTGGGTAGCTGTTTCTCGTTAAATTATCGTATTATTAATACATTAAGACGTTTGGTATAATGGATATAATTCGTAGCTCAGGTTTTTTGAGCTTTCGTGTTATGAACTCTTGATCTTTTCTTTTTGGTGATGTTACAGGGCAAGAGAGGCCATTCATGGCCCATTCTTGAGTGTGGATTTATATATTTAAATCCCTCACTTATTATACGAATCCGTTGCTTGCTATTAATGGCTTAGAGAAGCGGGATGCCAATAATATGAATCGCTATGTTATTTGGGAACTGTTTTGCAATACTAGTCCAGCGTGTTTACTTTCAGTTTAGATGATGATGTTAAATACCATATTTTAATCAAGCTCTACCAAATGCAAATACTTGTTGCTGTTGTTATCTTTGACTTGACGAAAAGGTTTTTAGGATTTTATATGCCATAAAAATTCAGTAAAAATTGCATGCATTGAATGATGAAATCATGCCTCAAATGCGTATTTCTGAGAGACAGCCAGAAGGCTTTTTCTATGCGAATATGAAAAGACAGGTACAAATCACGAGGAAGGTGCTATTCATGAGACCGTCGGACACTAATTATTGATTGCGGTAGCAATTTGGGTGGGGAAGTTCTCACGGCAATAACACCCGTCAAATGAATATGGTAGTTCAAAATAACAGTTTTGTTCAAAGACCTTTGACACCACTCCATCGTTTTTCAATGAAAAATATCGTTTTGCATTGTAGAAGCACACGTGCTGAGTTTGAGATTTTTAGAATACGAATTTTGTTTTTACATTAAATATATGGGTTGACCATCACATTTAAAACTGGCTTTTTTTTAATACCCAAAAGAATTTGTCTGTCTGAAAAATAACTTGAGAGAAAAATATAAATTTGAGAATATAATATAAAACATACTATGGGGTCTATTATAATAAGAATCGAATGAGAAGATATTGAATGGCTGTTAGAGTTGCTTGAAAATTGAGGGTGCTTTGTTCGATCTATACATTGCCAAACCATTTAAGCAACCGTCCATCAATATTATTGTAGCGTATATATTTTGCAGGTTCTTTGTATTTTATTTCCTTCTCTCAAATTCATGAGATTCACTCTTGATAGAGAGAAACTTTTCTTACATATTCAATAGATTATGGCTAAATTATAACGGTCGTATTTAGTGTGATAGGTTAAGTTAAAAGGTACGAGGAATAAGTTAGGTTATATTAAAGAAATTGTGGTTTAAATTAAATTAGTTTTATTTTAATTATATTAGGTTAGACTAATTCATAAATTTATGAATAGGTTGGTTTAAAATAATAATTAATTTTAAAATAAAAAATAATATTATTTTATAAAAAAATATATATGTATTATAGATTAATTTAATAAATAATTTATTTATTTTAATTAATATTATAATAATTTTATAACAACCACTTATTTTAATATTTAAGAATTAAGATTAATTATTATTTTAGATTAATAAATTACTAATAAATAATAATAATAAATAAATAAGAAGTTTTTAATTATTATTTTGAGATTGAGTAGATATATTAATTAATTTTATTAAGTAATTTTAATTTTAAAAATATATTTTTATTTTTATTTTTTAAAAATATTTTTTAATTATTTTTTTATAAATATATGTTAATATTTGTTTCAAAGTTTTAATAAGATTAAACTTAGTCTGTTAGCTAATATACGATAGGCTATAAATTTTTATTAAAACGGATCATCAATTTCATTTTACTTATAAAATTATGATAGCTGACTTGAACCGTCCGATTTTAACAGCTTTCATGAATTGTAAAATAAATTATGTGATTATATTATTAATAAAATTTGGTAGCGGGAGTATTTTGTATTCATCAAAAGTTTATTCCTTAATTTTTGCACAACAATAAAAAAAAAAAATTTAATCCAACTTACAAAATAACTAACTAGCACTCAGTCATATCCCTGGTCCAAATTGTAAAAAGAAACAATTACTATCTTGTTTGTTAGATTTAGTAATATTTCAATTCTCAAAGTTTTTGGTAGAATGTCGTAAAGTTATTATTTCAAACTACAATTTGTTTTCTTACTCCTTTCAAAAGTGAAACTTTATCTATATTTTTTTTATTTATCCATGAGATACAAAATTTTATTGTAACAGTCTCACGTTGTAATTAGTGTTAAGTTAAATTTTGATACATCACATATATTTCATTTTGGATTTTTATTTTGGTTTGCATATTTTACCTTTATTTTCTTTCCCTTATGTTATCATGGGTTATGACTATCAACAAAATGAATAAATGATCACAAATTATATCAAATATTTGTTTGACACACCCTAATTAAATTTAATTATTTTGTTTTCTCTTAACACATATTTGTAACTACTATGTCTACCTATAACAAATTATTATAGTATATACATGATAAAAAACAGTCAAAATATTTTGTTAACGAAAAAACAAACTATGACATTTTTTATATGTTCTATTATAATTTTATTCTAGTTCATTCACTTATAAACTAATTCTCACAGCGGTACCAAGATCATCCTTATTCATGTGATAAAATTCAATCACAAATTTATCTGTTAAATAGATCAAACTCACAATATATAAATATAATATATTTAAATATTAACAATTAAGTTGGCTAAAATATATATATATATATATATATATATATATATATATATATATATATATATATATATATTTCTAGGTTATGGATTCAAATTAGATATTAACATAAATTTAAATTTACGCTATGTTTAAGTATGCTCTTGCTGAAATATTGAACGGTTAAGTTTTTTTTAATTAGGTTTCCATGAATTAAAGTCAGTTCATATCACAATATTCGGGTTCAAATCTTCATGTTATAATGTGATAAATATAATGTCTCATACTATTTCTAACTATTTATTATTCCTGAATTCATATTTTCTTAAAACTAGACTTTTCTAAAGAAATTTTTTATTAATTAAGTCTTGCTTAAGAGTCTTTAAGGAGAGACGATGGTGTAAGTAATAAGTCCAATTAAGTGACAATAAATCCTATGGTGTTCTCAAACATCTTAGACCTTAACCTTAAGATGACAAGATTAATAAAACTACTTTCTAAAGGAAAAGAAAAGTTAGAAGAAAATAGAAACACAAAAAAAGAAAATAATAACATGAATATAATACAACATGAACAAATCATTCTAGAAATAGAAAACCAACTTAATAAATGGACCCTTCCAAAACTTTAAATATCCACCATTTATAAAATAATTTTGAAAGATATGTTTAAATCAAAATACCTAGTAAAACAGTAGATAAAGAAATTAAATTACAATCAAGTCAAGAAAAAAATATCATTAATAACTACAAATCTAATAGTTGAACACATAAAATAAAACCCCTCTTCAGGAAAGGAATAGATACTCCCATGTTCATAATATTAAGAGACAACAAACTAGTAAAACTTGAAAACTAACTTTTAGTCATGTTTGAAACAAACCTTCATAACGGATCACATACATAAATAATTACCCAAATTATTCAATAGTTCTCAAAAGTCTTTATAACACGAGAAAATAATATAATACTAGATATAAAAATACCGAGACAACGTATGGAATCCAAAGTCAATACCCTTAGCCATAATATATAGAATCTATTATACAATAATGAAAACTCAATTAGTTCGGAGAGCCTTATTAATGTCTTCAAAAGATGAAACTACTATGCTACTAGTTAATCCCGAAAAGGTTAACGTAGTAATACCAAAAACATTAAGACATACTGAAATATCTACTTG